TGCATGGCTGATGACCCACTCACCAGCATCACCACCAAAGCGTTACCCACACCACCCACCAGCACCATCAACACCCCAGCAGCCCCCAACACCACCTGTTCCCCCACCCCCACTGTGTCTCCCCAGTCCTTCCCAGTGGTGGTGTTCACCTCCTCAGACTCCATGGCAGCCAGCAGGGGCCACATCATGGCCTATCACACCCCTCAACACTACAGTATGTTGCCAGGCCTCCTGTACGACACCACACATTGACAGTGGTATGTGTCCCAATACTGCAGCCTCCTGTAGCTATGATCTGCCACACACGAGGTTCTGTGTTCTCTATAACTCACCATCCTCTTGTCACCTGTCACCACCTGTTGTTACCTCTTGTCACCGGTCACCACCTGTTGTTACCTCTTGTCACTGTTGTTTATGCTGGGTGGTGGTTCAGAGAAGCACTGTAAACCGCCAGAGGAGGTCAGGCAGGGTCCTTAGTATACAGGGTATTTGGCGCGCCTCATGTGACTAGCGGCGGCTGAGTCATCTACTTCACCCTCGTCACCTGCTGGGAAACACAGAAAAATAAGTCCATTCTGTTGTCAGAAAAAGTACTGAGAAAAACATCAATAAATGGATAAGGTTGAAATTTATTGATAATTACCGTCAAAATTATCTATCTATCTATCTATCTATCTATCTATCTAACGATCTATTTATCTATCTATCTATCTATCTCATATGTGCTGGGGCGGCCATATACTATAATAATTCCGGATATCTGATGTACGGATAATCCAAGATATGCTGTATTGCATATTGATGCCTTTTACCATATCGTATTGTGTTCTCGGGTATCTATATATATAAAAGAAAAAGTATGTGTGTGTTTGTGTGTCCGCACGAGAATCTCGGAAACTACTTTACCGATCTGTAGTGATGATGGGTGGTGTTATATGTAGTGATGATGGATGGTGTTATATGTAGTGATGATGGGTGGTGTTATATGTAGTGATGATTAGACAATAAAATGATAACAGTTTAACGCCAAAAAAATATACTTTGCTGTACCGTTGTAGTGAAACTTACATACACCGTTAATGAACTATTGATGGAAGAAGAAGTTTTGGGGACTGAACAGTAGTTGCAAACAGGTAGTTGCTCAGAGAGACAGACTACTCAGTTGAAGTTCTGGTTGAATCGGCTGGATTGTCCAATTAACCAGGCCGTTCACATATATTTATTATTTGGGTTTAAGTAACGAAACCCAAACTGTAGCTCCTTGTTTTATTATAAAAGGATGGTATCTATAATTCCTGAGTGCAGATCGACCGCAAGTTCCACTGTATATGAGTGAATGAGAAAGGGACGGCGTTTATGTAATATAAACGTTAGTTCACGTCCTTACGATATAAGTTGCTGTGAGTGACTCATGAGTAGTGACCCATCGAGGGAGAACGGTATGGGTACGTCGTTACCCCTCGAGGGAAGATGGAGCCATCCACTGCGGCTCTCAAATAACGTCTTCCTCTAGTCAAGGATATCAAACTACTGCTCGCTTCAGGTGGCCAGAGAGCCGGCTACTTATGCCTTTACTCAGCATAGTATGACGCAGCTTCCCGTGGGCACACCTTATCACGTGCATTGAACATGTCACATCATAGCCAGTGGAAAGTTACAGGGTGGTGAATCTGAATATAATATTAGATGTATTGACCCATTTATATAATATGTTCTATTGATGAGACAGGGGCCCATTACATGGTGAATTTTCTTAAACAAAATGAGCCTCACCTGGTGCCTCATCAAGCAAATGCTTATGAACAGATCTTGCAAGCGATACAAGCGGAGCAGGGAGGTATGATCTTTCTTGATGCACCTGGCGGGACAGGAAAAACATTCCTGATCAACCTTCTGTTGGCCAAAGTCCGTCATCAGGGGAAAATTGCTCTTGCTGTGGCATCCTCAGGCATTACTGCAACACTACTAGAAGGAGGACGTACTGCACACTCAACTTTTAAACTGCCTCTCAACCTCGCTCACAATGAGAATCCAGTGTGCAACATCAAAAAAGGATCGGCAAAGGCAAAACTCTTAGAAAAATGCAGCCTCATAGTCTGGGATGAATGCACTATGTCTCACAAGTTAGCGTTTGAAGCATTGGACAGGACCTTGCAAGACATACGAGAAAATGACCAGCTCATGGGTGGCATTACAATGGTCATTGCTGGAGACTTTCGCCAGACCCTACCTGTCATTCCTCGAAGCACTCCAGCTGATGAACTGAATGCGTGCCTCAAGGCATCATACCTTTGGAGAAGTGTTCAGACACTCACCCTATCCACAAACATGAGAGTACATCTACAAGGAGATCAGGATGCTGGACGGTTTGCAAACCTTCTACTACAGATTGGGAATGGAACTTTCCCTGTTGATTCAGAAGGACAAATAATCATTCCTCAAGGATGTGGAAATGTTGTAAAGTCCTCAACTGAGCTCACTAACATGGTCTACCCAAACATTATCCACCACTACAAGGATCACAAGTGGCTGCGTGAACGCGCAATTCTGGCACCAAAGAATGAAACAGTGGCTGAAATCAACATGACTCTACTCAGACAGCTTCCAGGCAGTGAGACCTCATTCAAATCTGTTGATACAGTAATCGACCAGGACCAAGCAGTCCAGTACCCTGCAGAATTCCTTAATTCTTTGGAGCCCGCTGGAATGCCTCCTCACCACCTCACTCTCAAGATTGGAACTCCTATAATGCTCTTAAGAAATCTTGAACCACCAATCCTCTGCAATGGCACAAGACTGGTGGTGAAGAACATGATGCCACATGTACTGGAAGCTACAATACTGACAGGAAAAGCTAAAGGAAAGGACGTTTTTATACCAAGGATACCTCTCATCACCACTGACCTGCCATTTGAGTTCAAGCGACTTCAGTTCTCGGTTAAAGTAAGCTATGCCATGACCATCTACAAAAGCCAGGGACAGTCCCTAAAGATGGTTGGCCTAAACCTGGTGTTTCCTTGCTTCTCTCATGGACAGTTCTATGTTGGATGCTCCACAGTGGGAACTGGCAAAAATCTGTACATACTTGCTGCTAATGGCAAAACCAAAAATGTGGTCTACCTTAATGCACTACAGTGAGACAATGTGGAGCCTCCCGGAGGGTGGCGTCCTCCCGTGTCCTAGCTAGTTGTACAATATTATCGTGTACCTTATGGTAAATATTCGGATCTTGACTGTTGATAGTTTGGTGGACAATTTTGGTCTCATTTTACTCAATATTTGATGTTTAATGCAGTTGAGATAGTCATTTTTTGTGGAAACGCAAAAAAAAAAAAATCATTATCCGTGTTGAGACTCACGAAGTCAAAAAACGCTTTTTATTTTACGTTACTACAACCAATTTCTCACCTAACCTAACCAATCATAATCTAACCTTAGTCACGTGTTGTCACAGTGAAATCACAGAGTGGCTGGTGCGGAGAATAACCAGAGTTCAGAGGGGCTGTGACGATACCATCTTCAGTCGATAACTTTCCCCGCTGACAAAAACTAACTTCCATAACAAAAATCACTTTCAGGTAATCATTTCCACGACACAATACAATAATTCCCGAATTTATCAGATCATCCTGACTAAAAATATTAATGAGGAAGGTGAATGTGAGAGGGGTGTAGGACCAAGTATTAGCCTACCTTATTTTATTATATTCCTTTGTTTTTTATCACACTGTATTTGTACTTCGTTGTAAGTTTGCGAAGTTGTTGTGTATCAACGCAAATGTGTAGGTAAATTCTCTATGTTGGTCACATATGTGCTGACGTCATCACTGCATACATAAGTATACAGAGCATTCTTTTTGTATTCATATTCTTATACATACAAATCATAAATAGTTATGGATATACATGTTCTGCATAAGGTGAGGCATTGTGAAGTATACAGTATGAATACATCGAGGAATGTCTAGCCAATAAGTAGTCAAAAGCTGCGTTAGTGGGTAGTGCTTGGCGAGGGACCTGTCATAAACTGTGTTCTTTGTGTTTACGGCGTCGGTAGTGCAATAAGGAACACGCGTTGTGAGAGGCCATGAGTGAGGGGGGGGTGAAAATTGTTCTCCGGTCAGTCGGTCCGTGAACCCTCCATTTAACGGACTACATTATATAAGAACATTGGAATGGCCCATACTAAGCAGTCTCATTTACACCCAACCCCTATCGCTCATATATCCATCCAACCTATGTTTGAAGCTATCCAGCGTGTTCGAGTTAATGATGATATTTGGTAACTTGTTCCACTCGTCCACTACTCTATTTCCAAACCAATGTTTACCTATCTTGCCCCTTTATCTAAATTTGTGTAATTTAAAACCATTGCAACGAGTTCGCTCCTGGTTGGATAGTTTGAGCACCTTTGTTATATCACCTTTGTTTAACACTGACTTCCATTTATACACCTCTGTCATATCGTCCCTCACTCTACGTCTCTCGAGGGAATGCAAATTAAGATGCTTGAACCTGTCTCTGTACTCAAGGTTCCTTATGCTATTGCCCCCCCCCCCCCAACAAAAAATCGCATTTTTGGAATCAACTTTAAAATCTACATTAATTATCAAAAAATATTTTCATTTTTTTAGTGTCGTACATGAAGTCGAAAAGATCCGACAGTTGTTATTGAGAAGGATAAAATTATTCAGGATTGGAGATTTTTTACTTTTATTCAGAAGGGTAAAATAATTTGTTTTTAAAATAATATATAGTTAGTATTTTGTTTTCTATATATAATAAGTTAATAATACATAAACCACCAGATTAACTTAATGCATTCTCTATTGACAAATATTTCCCACATAAATTAATAATAACCTTTAAAAACATCTTTCATGTCTTATAATCGTGAAATATAATACTCGTAGCCGCACTAAACATGGAAGGATACTTTATGACGTAACATAACACCATTGTTTGCCTGTCTGTTCAGTGTTGCTAGATAGTGTGCATGAGGGGTGAGAGCTCTGACGTCACGAATGAGTTGCCATATAGTCTGTGATAAAACGAGGAAAACTAAAGACAAAAAACAGTAACGTCTATCAAAAATGGTAATTTGAATTTAGTGAATAGTGAATAACAAAAAGGAAGTTATTATATATCAACATGAATAGATATAAAAAAAAATAAAAAAAATAGCAAATAAATATAAGTGATAATTATATAAAGAATAATAAGATAGTCAACACACATTATTAATAAAGAAGATTCCCGATGTAATATGAATCCCAGGTATACGTTTAAAGTTATGACAAGATACTACGCGTTATGTAATTACCTGAGGTTACCTGTAAATGTACCTGTCTACCTGGCTGAGAGAACCTTCAACTGGAACACCACAAAACCCTCACCTAAAACACGTAGCCACCAACCTGACGAGAGACGCACCTGTTCCCTTCACTGCTGGTCACGTGTTACCACTACACCTGTATAAGTATTACTGTAGGCTCTCCCAGCACTGGCGACATGGGAGTGTATCGGGTGTGAGAGGCTAGGGGGTGAGGTTAATACTGTACGCAGGTGAGGGACAGTGAGAGAATGACAAGGCATCAGGGTGAGTTGCCACAGTGATGGTTGGTAAAAAACTCGGTGTACGCAGGCGTTAACGCGGGTCACACAAGCACTTTCTTAGCTATTTTTTGCCGGCATTGTATCGTAAACAATATTTACCAAAACATCGGGAATTTATTTATTTATTTTAACAACTGCGGTAACAAACATGATGGATATTTATTGTTAACCTCGCCACTCCTGGTCAACTATACCAAGCATAGTGTTACTTTTATTTGCTTAAGTCAAAGTTTGTGTAGTATCGACACGCCCACACACCACGTCCAGTGTACAAGCCAATAGACTGAATTAAAGGAGCGTCAAAAGACCTTTTTATAAAGATGATAATAAATTACAAGGGTTTGCAATTTTAATATTAGTTTGTCGGGTTTGTTCTGAAAAGTTTCTATACACACAAACAACAACTAAACAATTCCTGCTAGAGTATATGATTAATATGAGGTAAGATGAACCAACGTTATCTACCTATTCTGGGTTAGGTTAGGTTAAGTTAGGATATATGACCCTGGTAGGTTAAGTTAGGTTAGGTTAGGTTAAGTTAGGATATATGACCCTGGTAGGTTAAGTTAGGTTAGGTTAGGTTAGGTTAAGTTAGGATATATGACCCTGGTAGGTTAAATTAGGTTAGTAACAGTAAAATTAGAGTTTTGGATTAACCAGCTACGAGGAAAACTCTATATACAGGAAAACGTTGTTGCTTATCTCAAGAAGAAACCAAACCAGCTGTAGGAGGAGCACCTTTGTATTCTCTCGTTACTGCCAAGTTTGAGGTTCAACTGTGTAGACAAAGTTCTGACCAATTTGTCTTTAAATTTCCTGTAATAAATTAATTCATCTGACCCAATTTATCTAAAAAAATGCAAAGAAAAATATCTGTGTGACCCGCCCTTAATTATCTCCCTCCCTCCTTATTTCATTTTCCACCTTCCTCTTTCCTCCCTCCTTCCTTCCCCCATTCATCCCTCCTTACCTTCCCTCACTCTCTCCTTCTTTCCCTCTCAACCTCCCTCCCTACATCCTTTTGTCCTTACTTCATTTATTCCCTCCCTCCCTCCCTCCTTCCTCACTAAGAGATTATACCTTAGTATTACACTACACTTCTTATCTCATACCTGAAGGAGTAACATTCCATAGTGTATTCATACCTGTTGATTAGTATTGTACACCTTTATAACGCCTCAGGTGAACACACACACACACACACACAAGAGTAACAGGAGATAAACAGGAAACAGACAAGTCATGTCTTACACACTGCCAGCTTGTACTGAGACGGGTGAACCTGGTCAAAGAAACATACTGGAATTTTTATATTTTATTAAATAAAATCTTCCTCGTAACAGAAATCATAACAAGTTCACAGTACCTTATTAATACAGGTATGTGTGTGTGTGTGTGTGTGTGTGTGTGTGTGTGTCGTGTTATCATCCTAACATGTGTCATGGTATCATGGTAACATGTATCGTAAGATTGCTTTAATACGTGCCGTGGTGTTGTGGGGTATGAGATGTTGGGTTCACACTCAGGATGGGATGGAGAAAGGAAACTCACAATGTGCTCTCTGTATACATGTTGTATTGGATGTACAATGCAGCTTGGTGCTGGGAAGGCAGCGTGGTTACAAGCGTGATGTAGAGAGAGCTGGTTGGTGAGGGTGCTCAGAGGAGGACAGCTTGTGGGTCGCCATGCTCGCCGGCGGGAGCGAGGGCCGCCAGGCAGCGGCGGAGGAGGTGGTGTTGCTTGCTGCGGCTGTAGCTAGAAGAAGAGAGAGGTCACCACGAGGTCAGGTCTTAAATAGCGGAGGCAGGCATGGCCTAGTAGTTGACCTCCGTCATGTAAGGCGGCGCTGGTTGACCTAGACCACGAGGCACACACTGGGGAATTCGCGGGATCGGCTACTCAGCGACAAACAGCGTTTGTAGGGGAGAAATCCACTACAGTGTCATTCTAAGGGTGCGTATTCACTTGAGCATTTTAGCCCGAACGAACCGAACGAACAGTTCGAGTGCAAGCTCTCTGTATTCTGCGTGTTCGACTTTGCTCGTCTTATTCCCACCGTTTTCCTCAGTTGAACCATGGATCCCACACTGGCAGCAGTGCATTCTTCATTATTTACTCCTTAGCCAAAAGGAAGAAGAAATCTAGGAGAGTGTGATTAAGGTGACTATTTTATGGACGGAAAAATATGTCCCTGTTGAGAGAAATGGATCATGGCCAATTGGCCATTTGAAAAGCTTTACTGGAATGACACCCTCCCCCCCTGAAGCAAGCTTCCCATTTTCTTCTTCCCTTCTCCCACAGGCCAGGATGCTTCTCATGTCCATCCAGTAAGGTTAAACATTTCTCCCTGTCCCACTTCATAACACACCGAATAGCAGGAACAGCGTGAACACCCGTCCTGACTGTGCACCAACGAGCAACTGAATCCTTTTGAGCACGCACCATCTACCGACAAGTGACAGAAAACGTTTGGCGCGCTCTGTTCGGCTCGGAGACACGTCCTTACTAGCCGAATTCTGCTCGGCCCGTTCTGCTTGTTCGGGCTAAAATGCTCAAGTGAAGACGCACCCTATCATGTGTCGTTGTATAATTCATCACATGTTGCGTTCTGTCTTAACCCCCCCCCCCCCACACACACACACCAACGTGTAATAAAGTCATTGGGTTTTATTCAGTTCATCAATCAGTCACAAATTCTCTGCAACTATCGTAATATAATTAGAGAATAAATGTATAAAATAGATGATAAAATAGAACAAGAATTAACATAAAAGACAATGATATTTTTCCTATTATTTTTCGAATGTGTTATATAATGATAGTAAGAAAAAGTTAATTATAAGGAAAAATATAGAAACTAGTGATGGAAATCCATTTAATTAGTCTCCTCGTAGGGATGTAGTCGAGACCAATAAATCCGAGACACAGAGACCGAGACCACGGTTAAACGACTGTATAAGATAATTCGTATCTATAATGTAGAAGTAAAATATAGTAAAAAAAAAATAAGGTTTCATTTCATACATAAAATTTTTTGAGTGGTTGAAATCCCAGGATGGAGGAGGAGGTTAGAATTTGTTACTATCTACCAAATGATTTAATTTTATTCATAATACACATATGAATAATACAATATACATACTTGGTTTATTTAATCAATATCTGTTACTTCAGGCTCGTTAATCATAGCCAGGTACTTTATTTTTCTAATTATTTAAGATATGAGAAATTTTTATGACATAAGAAACATCAATAACTTAGTCCATGTGTTGGTAGTGTTCTTATTATTAACCCACACCACCTCCCTCCCAAGGGCTAAATATATACTGAATCGCAGCGCTTGAGGCAGGTAGACACAGACAGATTTTTGGTTAGTGTCAGATGGAAACTCGACCTTGTCCTGTTGCCTAGATGTGAATTAGGGTCATATCTGTTACGTGGGTCATCTTGCCTGACAAATTTGACCACAACCCAGGAAACTTTTAGTATTTGTGGTGGAATAATAAGCGAGGTAACTTAACTCAAACTTAATCTATAGACCAATCTCTCTCACCACGTCTGTAAATTAAGAAATTATTCGTGGCCTCGAAGATTACATCCAAAAATCCGAGATCAAATACTTCCGAGACCGAGACCTGGAAAGCTTGTCTCGAGACCAACATCACTGGCACCTTGAAATGGATGTGAGGTTAATTGTTTCGTCTCACTGATAAGGTTGTTTAACACGTGGTTCTTGTCATAACGTGTTGATCTGTCATGTGATGATGGCTGGTTTAATATCCTCTAAACGACCTTTTGGCTGAGGCAGGTGCTTGAGCAGGTGATGGGTGGGTGGGTGGGTGTCGAGGCTGCACTTAATGGGTGGTGAATAGGTGGTAGGAGGTCGTGTTGACAGGTAGAGTCACTTGATAGACTGCAGGTTATCAGGTCCACAGGTAGAGAGAGAGAGGCAGGGACACGTAAATTTCCTGCCAGAGTTGTTACCAATACACCCGGGACACAGACCACCAGCTGGGCCTTGAAAGCTAATGTTCACAGCTCTGGTAACACTGATAAGTATACGCGACAATAACACACATAATTAACCCTATTTCTAATCCGGGTCATTATGGATAATTTATTTATTATATTTCATTAATTTCACCTCCTTTTCCCTCCTTTCTGTGGCTTCCTGAAAAAAAAAACAAAGAAAGGTTTATTATTTTTATAAGGAAAATACATAGAGTATAATGATATATATATAATCATCATCATTAGAGCGGCAGAAATAGTATCAGAGTATCGACCTGGAGATAAGAAACCCTCCACTCACTGCCCCCCCCCCTTATCACCACTACCCCCTACCAACATTACCACCACCACTACCCCCTACCAACATTACCAC